TAAACGGTGTCAAGGGCTGAAGGAACTGTCCATGGTCCTGAAAGTGCTGGAATGTTTCAGGACCTTGAACAGTGTGAAGGGTTGAAGGAACTGTCCATGGTCCTGAAAGTGCTGGAATGTTTCAGGACCTTGAACAGTGTGAAGGGTTGAAGGAACTGTCCATGGTCCTGAAAGTGCTGGAATGTTTCAGGACCTTGAACAGTGTGAAGGGTTGAAGGAACTGTCCAAGGTCCTGCAAGTGCAGGAACGTTTCAAGACTTAAGAAAATCACTAAACTGAGGTAATTTTGAAAAGTAATATGAGGCAGATGTCTACCACACAGTCAATGCATTGTGCTCCAGCTCAAAATTGGTTGATTATAATATTTTGCAGATTATGTATAAAGCTCATAAAAATGTATTACATTTAAATATCAAATTAATTTTTGTTAAGAGCGTAAGCAAATATAATCTTAAGGGACTAGAGATGTTTGTAATGCCTAAAATCCAAACAAATTTGAAGGACTGATGCACTTCAGTACAAGGAATAAGACTGTGGAATAATCTGGAAAGTGAGTATAAAATCCTGGCTCAATAAATTTGTTTAAGAGAATGATAAAAGTTGGATTGTTGAAGAAATATGAATTTGTATAATGTGCATTCATAAGAACTGTTGTTTGAGGAGTTGAAGTTTTTTGTTGTTTTGTTATTTGAACATCATAATTGTTTGAAATTTTTTTATTTTTTGGAAAAAAGGGGAAGATGCTAATATTTTTTTTTCTTCTTTCTGCTACCTTTCATTTTATTTGTGATTTGTATTATTTGCTGTATGTATAGTATTTTTTGTTGTTTTTAAATGAAAATTAATAAATTTACTAAACTAAAACTAAACTAAACTAAAAAAAATAGCAGAGTTCTGCACCTCTGTTTGTTCCACAATGCTTGCTAAATTCCTGTAAGCCAGGGCTTTTCAACTGGCAGTCCGCGGGACCAAAGCTCGACTCGCCAATTAGTTCATTCATCTCTTAAGCCCAAACCCCCGGGTTTCTACTTTAATTACTCTAAGTTCTTTTAGTCAAACATAGACATGTTTGGTATCTACAAAAACATCAGAAACTTGGCTAGAAGCATGTAAAAAAAGCATTTCTATGCACAGTCAAGGCAGTTAAAATTACAAGAAGTTGAAGATAAAGCAAAGTGAAAATGAAACTGGTTTAAAAATTTGGCAAGACAAAGGTGTCAAAACAATATTTGTGTCAAATAGGAGGCTTACTGTGTTTTATTTTTGTTTTTGACATAGTTTATTTTTAACAATTTTTATTTTTGTATGTTGCATTTATGATTAAAAACAGCAAAATAAACTATTTCAAAGGTAACAGATCTTGTAATACTTGGTTTATTTACATAACTTTAAGTGATGGATGTTCTGCCCCTCAGCTGTTGAATTGCATTAACTGTGGCCCCCGGAGCAGTTTAGTTTAGTTCTGTTTAGTTTAGCAGTTTACACTCTAAAAATGAAATGTTGGATTTACTTAACCATGTTATGTGACCTGGTTCCACTTAACTGAGT